ATTAACTATAGTTATATAAAGAATATAGTTTATCTGTCACGCCATCAAAGATTAACTATAGTTATATAAAGAATATAGTTAATCTGTCACGCCGTCACTGCTATCACAGATTAACTATAGTTATATAAAGAATATCTCGCCATCACTGCTAACACAGATTAACTATAGTTATATAAAGAATATAGTTAATCTGTCACGCCATCATTGCCATCACAGATTAACTATAGTTATATAAAGAATATAGTTAATCTGTCACGCCGTCATTGCCATCAAAGATTAACTATAGGTATATAAAGAATTTAGTTAATCTGTCACGCCGTCATTGCCATTAAAGATTAACTATAGTTATATATAGAATATAGTTAATCTGTCACGCCATCATTGCCATCACAGATTAACTATAGTTATATAAAGAATATAGTTAATCTGTCACGCCATCACAGATTAACTATAGTTATATAAAGAATATAGTTAATCTGTCACGCCATCACTGTCATCACAGATTAACTATAGTTATATAAAGAATATAGTTAATCTGTCATGCCATCATTGCCATCACAGATTAACTATAGTTATATAAAGAATATAGTTAATCTGTCACGCCGTCATTGCCATCAAAGATTAACTATAGTTATATAAAAAATATAGTTAATCTGTCACGCCGTCATTGCCATCAAAGATTAACTATAGTTATATATAGAATATAGTTAATCTGTCATGCCATCACTGCTATCACAGATTAACTATAGTTATATAAAGAATATAGTTAATCTGTCATGCCATCACAGATTAACTATAGTTATATAAAGAATATAGTTAATCTGTCATGCAATCTCTGTCATCACAGATTAACTATAGTTATAAAAGGATATAGTTAATCTGTCACGCCATCATTGCCATCACAGATAAACTATAGTTATATAAAGAATATAGTTAATCTGTCATGCCATCACTGCTATCACAGATTATCTATATAAAGAATATAGTTAATCTGTCACGCCATCACAGATTAACTATAGTTATATAAAGAACATAGTTAATCTGTCACGCCATCACTGCCATCACAGATTAACTATAGTTATATAAAGAATATAGTTAATCCTTCACACCTTCACTGCCATCACAGATTAACTATAGTTATATAAAGAATATAGTTAATCTGTCACGCAATCACAGATTTACTATAGTTATATAAAGAATATAGTTAATCTGTCATGCCATCACTGTCATCACAGATTAACTATAGTTATATAAAGAATATAGTTAATCCTTCACACCTTCACTGCCATCACAGATTAACTATAGTTATATAAAGAATATAGTTAATCTGTCACGCAATCACAGATTTACTATAGTTATATAAAGAATATAGTTAATCTGTCATGCCATCACTGTCATCACAGATTAACTATAGTTATATAAAGAATATCTCGCCATCACTGCTAACATAGATTAACTATAGTTATATAAAGAATATAGTTAATCTGTCATGCCATCACTGTCATCACAGATTAACTATAGTTATATAAAGAATATAGTTAATCTGTCACGCAATCACTGTCATCACAGATTAACTATAGTTATATAAAGAATATAGTTTATCTGTCATGCCATCATTGCCATAACAGATTAACTATAGTTATATAAAGAATATAGTTAATCTGTCATGCCATCACTGCTATCACAGATTATCTATAGTTATATAAAGAATATAGTTAATCTGTCACGCCATCACAGATTAACTATAGTTATATAAAGAATATAGTTAATCTGTCACGCCATCACTGCCATCACAGATTAACTATAGTTTTATAAAGAATATAGTTTATCTGCCATGCCATCACTGCCATCACAGATTAACTATAGTTATATAAAGAATATAGTTAATCTGTCATGCCATCACTGCTATCACAGATTATCTATAGTTATATAAAGAATATAGTTAATCTGTCACGCCATCACAGATTAACTATAGTTTTATAAAGAATATAGTTAAACTGTCACACCGTCACTGCTATCACAGATTAACTATAGTTATATAAAGAATATAGTTAATCTGTCACGCAATCACAGATTTACTATAGTTATATAAAGAATATAGTTAATCTGTCATGCCATCACTGTCATCACAGATTAACTATAGTTATATAAAGAATATAGTTAATCTGTCACGCAATCACTGTCATCACAGATTAACTATAGTTATATAAAGAATATAGTTAATCTGTCACGCCATCATTGCCATAACAGATTAACTATAGTTATATAAAGAATAAAGTTAATCTGTCATGCCATCACTGCTATCACAGATTATCTATAGTTATATAAAGAATATAGTTAATCTGTCACGCCATCACAGATTAACTATAGTTATATAAAGAATATAGTTAATCTGTCACGCCATCACTGCCATCACAGATTAAGTATAGTTTTATAAAGAATATAGTTAATCTGTCACACCGTCACTGCTATCACAGATTAACTATAGTTATATGAGTGAGTATGGTTTTACGCCGCTTTTAGCAATATTCCAGCAACAGCACGGCAGGGAACACCTGAAATGGGCTTCACACATTGTACCCATGTCAGGAATCAAACCCGAGTCTTCGGCGTGATGAGCAAATGCTCTAACCACTACGCTACCCGACTGCCGCTATATAGTTATATGAAAGAATATAGTTCATCTGTCACGCCATCACTGTCATCACAGATGAACTATAGTTATATAAAAGAATATAGTTAATCTGTCATGCCATGCAGTGTCAGAAATATACGGCCTGCCCGCCTGCCTGTGACTGGTAACTTTTCTGTCGGACTGCATGAAGTTTTCCTCCACCTGCCTGACTCTCTGGCTGATACTTAAGACTACTTATGTATTCAGTTTTATTCAGATATATTATAGTCGTACCTGGTTTGTCCATCTGTCCATATTTCATTTCCGGAGCAATTAACTTGAAAACGGTAAAAAAATTCATCAAACTTGGTACATGAATTAACCAGAGACTGAAGTGGTGCCTTTTGCTATTGTGAGAGCTGGGGGATTTGTCATCTTCTGATGACTCTTGTTATTCTCAAGTAGTTTGCATTATTTCATCTGAATCAAAACAGACCGCCTCCGTGGTCTAGTGGTAGAGAGTCCGCCCGGAGATCGGAAAGGCCAGGGTTCGATCCATGACTGTGTCATACCAAAAGACGTTAAAAGATCGTACTTGTTGTTACCCTGTCTGGCGCTCGGCATTAAGGGGCAAAAACCAGGACTGGTCGGCTCGGAGTCAGTATACTGTGTCTGAGTGGGGTATTCATGTTAAACTGCGGCATGGTATCTCAGTGTGCTAGCACTATAAATCGGCATCAGTCCGGACTAGTACAAGCAGCCACACAAACAAACACACGTACATGCACGTCGCTTTATAAGTGCAATAATCTTGGACGCGACGTTAAACCCCATTTCACCTCACCACCTCACCTCACCTCTGAATCAAAACGCGATTTGTCTCTTATTTTTGGTAATTTTTCTGAATGAGGGCAGGTTACTTTGAAGACTGTCTTGAAAAGAACTATTTCAAACACTGATGTCATGGCAGATTATATATAGCTCTATGAAAGAATAGGATGTCCTTTAGCTTATTTTGAGAAGTATATATTAGGACAGAATAATCGCATCTGATTCTGATGTAACTTATCCGTTTTTAGTTGTTTAGTATTATATCAATTGCTTATTGTTATATTAAATCAGGCCTCCAGAGAGTTTTCCAGGCCATTGAGTATTTATTTATTCACGTCATCAGTCACACTGGGTATTGATAGTTTTATGATAGTATATTTTCACCCCCTTGGGTCATGTCTGTTGTGTATCCATGAACCAATAATAATGACTTTTTTTTTAAATTGCGTAAAGCGCTGTTTCAGGTTACAGTTTTCGTATTATTTCTTTACATAATTCATGAAGATGTGATGCCTACATTCGATCAGCAAATAAAGATCGTAAAGATATATAGGCACTCAAGCTAAAAAGGTTCTTAGGTAAATACACAAATTGTTATAACATTAATTTTTGGGACTTTTCTTGATGCATTTGTACATAAGCAGCTCCAAATAAATTGGGTGTTAGTGATGTATTTTGCATATTTTTCTCAAATACAATATTTCAAGACCTTATTTATAAAAAAGTTTAATTGAGAGGATATTGTTTTACAGCGCTTACAATACTCCAGCAATATCACAGCGGGCGACACCAGAAATGGGCTTCACACACTGTACCCATTTGGGGAATCGAACTCGGATCTTTGGCATGATGAGTGACCACTTTAACCACTAGGCTACCCGACCGCCCCATTAGGAGTTTAAGCCTCTGGGTTTGTTTGTTTGTTTGTCTGTTTGTTTGTTGTTTAACGCCACACTCAGCAATACTTCAGCTATATGATGATGGTCTGTAAATAATCGAGTCTGGACCAGACAATCCAGTGATTTACATCATGAGCATCGATCCATGCGATTGAGATACGATGATATGCATCAACCAAGTCAGTGAACCTGACCACCCAATCCTGTTAGTCGCCTTTTACGACAAGCAGGGGTTAGACCTATTCTACCCTGGGTCTTCATGGGTTTAAGCCTCTGGGGTTTCTATACTTCCAGGGAGTTGAGAAAAACAGATCTGTTGCCATGGGTAACAATGTTTTCATGTTAAAGGTGGTGAATAAGTCTCAAAATATCAAAATATGAGATATGATTATTATCCTACTACGAGAAAAGCTTCACTTCACATGATGAAAAAACAGAAACATCCTAAAAAAAATACCACTTCAATCTAAAATATGACACCTTAGAACAATTACAAACTTCTGTAAAAAGGATAAAATTGCAAAGTGCAATTTCTAGAAACTTAATGAAAATCATTACTTGAATCAGGATCAAACATTTCATTCTAAAAGATTATTGACAATCAAACATGAAGATTTTATCAATTATTTCCAGAAAAAGATCAAAGGGTTTCTTACATTTTTCAAAGCTGGAAACTCCACAATTCACAAACAGATCAATGGGAATATTTCCAATCCAAAAATCCACATGTGCAATGAACTCATCAAACACACCGTGTATGATCCACCGCTGTTAGTGAAACACCTTCCCAATGTGGTTTCAGCGAGAGCCTTAGTTCAATTGAACCGTTTGTTCACCAGCCACTTGTTCATGAGGGCACCGCAAACTCAATCGCATCCAATGCTGTGACAATGCAAACGACCAATGCTATAGCAAGGGGACCAGCGATGCTATACGAGCGGCGAATGAGTTGTCGAGCTGTTGTAACAAGCTATCGCACCGTCCTTTCGCTACACCTCTGGATGGAGAGCTGGAACAGCGTGAATGCTACGGAGGCTGCAGTAACTGAAGGCATAGAGAATTGGCCCGTGCCACAGCTTGTGATGGATCAATACCTGTAGCTGCTTCTGATGCTGGTGGGATGAGGTGTGAAACTGCAACCTTCACGGTTTCTCAGTCCAGTGTCAAAATCTACTTCAACGACACGTCCAGGCTTCACACATGGGGCCAGGTCTTTCAAGGTGGCAACTGTTGCACTTCTGAATGTGGTTGAAATTGGAAAACTTAAATCAAAAAGTGGTTTCAATGATGGGTTGTATGCTGGGTGTTTCCTGAAGGTGTTTTATGAAAACACTGTTAAATGTATATGTCACTTCAAAGAACACCTAGTTGAGATTCAAGCAGGGGGAACGTGTTTTTCGAGGTGGTTTAGATGAAAGGATAAAACACGACTCCGAGGTTTTAGTTCCCTGATGCGAGCAGGGACTGACCTGGTAAAACTGAGGCACTGACGTGATGTTTTACTAGCGAGGTCTCACTTAGAACAAGTAAAACTTCATACTCTGTCTTACTTATAAAAAGTGAAACTTCAAACTTGGTCTTACTAAGAAAAAGTAAAACTTAATACTCTGTCTTACTTATAAAAAGTGAAACTCTATACTTGGTCTTACTAAGAACAAGTAAAACTTCATACTCTTACTTATAAAAAGTGAAACTTCAAACTTGGTCTTACTAAGAAAAAGTAAACCTTAATACTCTGTCTTACTTATAAAAAGTGAAACTCTATACTTGGTCTTACTAAGAACAAGTAAAACTTCATACTCTTACTTATAAAAAGTGAAGCTTCATACTCGGTCTTACTAAGAAAAAGTAAAACTTCATACCAGGTCTTACTAAGAAAAACTAAAACTTCATACTGCTGTCGTAGTGGATTATCTGACTTATGTACTGTTGAAACTACATATATAAATATTTGTTTAATATCATGTGTAAAAGAAGGTTATGACAGTCAAAAGAAACCCTCATAAAATACACATGGCAAGGAAATGTACGCTAAACATGGTACCTTCTAACGAACCACCTATCTTCAACCAGATGGTCTAGTGGATAGAGTGCCTGACTACTGGCAGTAGGTTGTGGGTTTGATTCATAATGAAAGCATTTCATTTCTTGTCTTCCCTTCTAGAAAAATGGATGTTTGAAACACAAAGTCAAAACTTCATCTGGTTCTTTACTCATCATGTCTTACCAGGAAAAAGTAAAACTTCATACTCGGTCTTACCAGGAAAAAGTAAAACTTCATATCCAGTCTTACCAGGAAAAAGTAAAACTTTATACCCAGTCTTAAAAGTAAAAAGTAAAACTTCATATCCAGTCTTACCAGGAAAAAGTAAAACTTCATATCCAGTCTTACCAGGAAAAAGTAAAACTTCATACTCGCTCTTACCAGGAAAAAGTAAAACTTCATACTCGGTATTACCAGGAAAAAGTAAAACTTCATACTCGGTCTTACCAGGAAAAAGTAAAACTTTATACCCGGTCTTAAAAGTAAAAAGTAAAACATCATATCCGTTTTACCAGGAAAAGAGTAAAACTTCATACTCGGTATTACCAGGAAAAAGTAAAACTTCATACTCGGTCTTACCAAGAAACATTGGGAGCAGCACTGTAAGTTTCCTTAAAGTGATTTTATGAAAACACTGTGAAATTCATCTGTCACTTCAAAGAGCTTTTTTTGTTTTGATGTGTTTATTGTTTAACGCTACACCCAGCAATATTCAATCTATATGACGTCGGTCTGTAAATAATTGAATCTGGACCAGACAATCAAGTGATTGATATCATGAGCATTGATGCACACAATTGGGATACAATGACGTGCATCAATCAAATCAGCGAGCCTGACTACCTGATCCCAATAGTTGCCCCTTACGACAAGCATGGGTTGCTGAAGACCAATTCTGACCAAGATCTTCATGGGTGCACTTCGAAGAGCACATTCATAGTCTGTTAACTCCCTTGACTCGGGCAGCATGGGTTGCTGAAGACCAATTCTGACCAAGATCTTCATGGGTGCACTTCGAAGAGCACATTCATAGTCTGTTAACTCCCTTGACTCGGGCAGCATGGGTTGATGAAGACCAATTCTAACCATTGATCTTCATGGGTGCACTTCGAAGAGCACATTCATAGTCTGTTAACTCTCTTGACTCGGGCAGCATGGGTTGCTGAAGACCAATTCTAACCATTGATCTTCATGGGTGCACTTCGAAGAGCACATTCATAGTCTGTTAACTCTCTTGACTCGGGCAGCATGGGTTGCTGAAGACCAATTCTGACCAAGATCTTCATGGGTGCACTTCGAAGAGCACATTCATAGTCTGTTAACTCCCTTGACTCGGGCAGCATGGGTTGCTGATGACCAATTCTAACCAAGATCTTCATGGGTGCACTTCGAAGAGCACATTTATAGTCTGTTAACTCCCTTGACTCGAGCAGCATGGGTAAATACTGAAGACCAATTCTAACCATTGATCTTCATGGGTGCACTTCGAAGAGCACATTCATAGTCTGTTAACTCCCTTGACTCGGGCAGCATGGGTTGATGAAGACCAATTCTAACCATTGATCTTCACAGGTGCACTTCGAAGAGCACATTCATAGTCTGTTAACTCTCTTGACTCGGGCAGCATGGGTTGCTGAAGACCAATTCTGACCAAGATCTTCATGGGTGCACTTCGAAGAGCACATTCATAGTCTGTTAACTCTCTTGACTCGGGCAGCATGGGTTGATGAAGACCAATTCTAACCATGATCTTCATGGGTGCACTTCGAAGAGCACATTCATAGTCTGTTAACTCCCTTGACTCGGGCAGCATGGGTTGATGAAGACCATTTCTGACCAAGATCTTCATGGGTGCACTTCGAAGAGCACATTCATAGTCTGTTAACTCCCTTGACTCGAGCAGCATGGGTTGCTAAAGACCAATTCTAACCAAGATCTTCATGGGTGCACTTCGAAGAGCACATTTTTAGTCTGTTAACTCCCTTGACTCGGGCAGCATGGGTTGCTGAAGACCAATTCTAACCAAGATCTCAGGAAGATGCGGGAACCAGGATCTTTCATGGTGTTAACAGGTGCACTTCTGAATGTTGTTTCACACAGAGATGTTGAATCAGAAAGTGGTTTAGATGCTCGGGTCAATGAAGGACATTTCTTCAGTGCTGTTAGATGTTTGTGCCAAAGTGCACAAGAGAGCTGGGATGAATCCAAATTTACTACCGAGGTACCCACCCCCCTATTACCCGACCCTATCTGGGTACCTGCTGTAGGTCCAAAAAGTTAGGTCCAAAAGTTGGGGACAAAATGTCAGATTAGGAATTGTTTCATTGTTTGAAATTGCATACGCTGAAGTTGACTGAAGTTTTATCTTTATTCAAACATATAAAAGTCAGACAGAATGTATGCATAGTCAGAAAGAAATGCGAACATTAGTGACTTGTAGTGTAACCATGGAGTTATAGAGGTGAGGTGAGGTGAAATTGGGTTTAACGTCGCGTCCAAGATTATTGCACTTATATAGCGACGTGCATGCACGTGTATGTGTGTGTGTGGCTGCTTGTACTAGTCCGGACTGATGCCGATTTATAGTGCTAGCTCACTGAGATACCATGCCGCAGTTTAACATGAATACCCCACTCAGACACAGTATACTGACTCCGAGCCCCTTAATGCCGAGCGCCAGACAGGGTAACAACAAGTACAATCTTTTAACGTCTTTTTGTATGACGCGGCCCGGGATCGAACCCTGGACCTTCCGCTCTCTGGGCGGACGCTCTACCACAAGACCACGGAGGCGGTCTGGAGTTATAGAGGATTGTCATTAAACTCAGTACCCACCCGACCCAAGTTTTGTTTTGTTTGTTTGTTTGTTTGTTTGTTTGTTTGTTTGTTTAACTCTGCATTCAGCAATATTCCAGCTATGTGACAGCAGTCTGTAAATAATTGAGTCTCGACCATACAATCCAGTGCTTGACCTCATGAGCATCGATCCTTGACAAGTATAGTCACCTCTCATGGCAAGCATGCGTTGCTGAAGACCTGTTCCACCCCGAATCTTGATGGGTCTATAAAAGTAGGTATGTTCTCTTATCTGACTGGTTAAGAAGCGTTATCGAACGAGCATAACATCACATAATGGTTTGGCCTTATACCCTTACAGTGTTGTGTTAAAATGCTAAATATCCATCCCAGCCCTACTGCACACTGCAACTATGCCTAACTTCAGTCAGGCGGAACAAGATTTTTGCAAGGTGCAGCTCTTGCACTCCTGAACGTGGTTTGACACTCGGATCAATCCTTGGAGCTTCTTGAGTGCAGTTATCAAATCACTGTTAAACTGCGTACGTCACTTCAAAGATTTCGATGAATTCAAGTGTGTATCATACATCCAGCCCTTCCATTCTTGAAAAACTTTCCCGCAAGCTTTCTTTGATGAGAGAGTGAGTGAGTGAGTTTGGTTTAACACCGCTTTTAACAGTATTCCAGTTATATCGCAGCATGTCAGCTTAATGAGGGAGGTAAGCCCGAAGTTATGCAGGTCTCAGACATTTACCACTTCGGTGAAACCCACGAGCACGGGTATGGTGCTGACAAACCTAGAAACATAATCGGGGCGAACCGGGATTCAAACCCACAATCATAGGATTCTGGCGTGCCCAAGGGATGCAACTCTGCACAGCGAATCGCGGCGCCTTAGACGACTGGGCCACCCGTGCCCTCTTGATGAGAGAGTGATCTCAAAGCTCAAGGTAGAGGCACTGATGGACCACAAGCTGAGAAAGGCCTCCATCTCTTTCAAGTGTAAAGAATAAAATCACCAAATCTTCAAACATGGATGACCAATGCACAGGACTTGCAAATTTCCAAGTACACAATATCCAGAAAACAAAAGCTATCACTTTGATTAGAGTGAGCGAGTGAATGTTGTTTTCAGCTCTGGTCACCATTATTCCAACTGTCATGGTTAGTTGTTTGTTTTGTTT